AGTGAAATAAAACAATTATAATATAATTTATGTTGAAAAATATTTATAAAATTAAAATGATATTTTTAATCTCAATATCCTCATTCACGTTTTTCCTTTTACCATTCCTCATTCACGTCTTCTCTTTTTCCAAATTTAAACCTCAATATCCTTAATCTCATCTTCGTTCCTTGTCCTTTAGATTTCGATAAAAGCTTCATCACCATTTTCATTTCCATTGCGTCTTCTCTCCTTCATCAATCCCTTTTCTCAATTAAAGCCAAACCCTAAAAGTTGTTGAACCACACTGTATCTTTTTTCCGGTTCAATCCGGGGGCTTCGATTCATGCTTTCATATTACGATCGGGTTTTGATTCTAATGTATTTGTTTGTAATGCGGTTGTTTTGAGGTATGGTAAATGTAATGTGCTTGTTCACGCGCGTAAGGTGTTTGATGAATTGTGTCATAGAGGGACTTGTGATTTGGTGTCGTGGAATTCGATTGTGTCAGCTTATTCGCATTGTTTTGTTTCAAAATTTGTAGTTTCGCTTTTTCGTGAAAGGACGGTGAGTTATGGGTTGATGCCGGATGCTGTTGGTGTTGTTAATATACTTTCTGTTTGTGGTTTTCTTGGTTTGGGGTTACTTGGGAAACAGGTTCATGGTTTCGGTGTTAGAATTGGATTGGTTGATGATGTCTTTGTTGGAAATGCTTTGGTTGATATGTATGCGAAATGTGGGAAAATGGCGGATGCTAATAAGGTTTTTGAGAGGATGGGGTTTAAGTATGTTGTTACTTGGAATGCTATGGTTACCGGGTATTCTCAAACTGGTAGATTTGAGGATGCACTTTCTTTGTTTGGGAAAATGAGGGAAGATAAAATTGAGTTGGATATTGTTACATGGAGTTTTGTTATTTCTGGGTATGCTCAGAAAGGGTTTGGCTGTGAAGCAATTGATGTGTTTAGGGAAATGTGTGGATGTGGTTGTCGTCCTAATGTGGTTACTCTAGTTCCGTTGCTTTCTGGTTGTGCGCCTATTGGAGCATTGCTTCATGGAAAAGAAACTCACTGTTATGCTGTTAAATTTATTCTCAAGGGGGGTGATTATGATGATGATGATTTGATGGTGATTAATGCTTTAATTGATATGTATGCTAAGTGCCGGAGTTTAGAAGTGGCTCGTGCAATATCTTATGAAATATGTCCTGAAGATAGGGATGTTGTGACTTGGACTGTGATGATTGGAGGATATGCTCAGCATGGTGATGCCAACCATGCCCTGCAGCTTTTCTCTGAAATGTTTAAAATTAATACCTGTATAGTTCCTAATGATTTTACTATATATTGTGTGCTCATGGCTTGTGCTCGTTTGGCGACTTTGAGGTTTGGTAGGCAAATTCATGCTTATGTGTTGAGAAGAAGTCGTATTGATTCAGATGTTTTGTTTGTGGCTAATTGTCTCATAGACATGTATTCTAAATCTGGAGAAGTAGATACTGCTCGAGTTGTTTTTGACAACATGCCAAAGAGAAACGCCGTCTCTAGGATCGTGTATGACATGATAGTTATAAGCTCTACTTTGATTATATGAGCTTATACCATATTAGCTCGTAGTTTGGCCTTACCAAACAAAGCCATATTTATTTCTTAAGCATTGCTAGCTGATAGTTTGTCTTGAGTTACCATTGTTTCTTTAATGGTGACAAAACCAAACGAATGTAGATTGAAGTTTTTCTTTATGGCTTACAGATTGTTTGAACTGTATGGTCATGAAGCAAACATGAAGCTGTTGGCCAAGGAACTAACCCCTCTACAGGGTATTGGTTCCCAAACATGTATTACATTTAGTGTTGATGGATCTAAATTTGCTGCTGGTAGGTTGGTAAGCATCACTCTAGATTCCAACCAATTGCATTTATTTTCTGTGGCACTTTTGAGTTCTTCTTCTTCCGAAGTGAATCTTATTTGTTTTACTTTGATCCTTAACTCGTGTAGGACGTATGTCTCAGAATTATGGAGTGGCCTAGCATGCGCATAATTTTGGATGAACCAAAAGCACACAAATCTGTCCGGGATATGGATTTCAGGTAGAAAATTACTGAGCAACTCTATCTGGATCCTTCTAAAAATGCTCTCAGTATAGTTTTATGTAGATAGATACAATGTTTTACACAATTACAGCGTGCTTATATTATAAACATTTTGATCCTGAAAGTTTTGATGACATTGATACTTATTGTATTGTACTTTGTTTTGTCTTACTTCAGTCTAGACTCTGAATTTCTAGCTTCAACTTCTATTGATGGTTCAGCAAGAATTTGGAAAGTTGAAGATGGTGTTCCTGTGACTACTTTGTCTCGCAACTCGGTACAGTGTGATTGATTTCAGAACCTTCTCTGGAGATTTTTTTACAAGAATCTGTGCAGTTACTTGTACTCCCTTGATCTAGAATTTTAATTTTTGTCTCTTTAGGATGAAAAAATTGAATTATGCCGATTTTCCAAGGATGGAACCAAACCATTTCTATTTTGTGCCATTCAAAAAGGTATACGAGTATCTTGTTTTGAGTATATTCTAGAGTATTAATTTTTTATTTGTATATCTGTCAGATCTCTTTGGATCAACTATGGCCTTAATCATCATTGCTTCTAATTTTACGCAGGGGATAAGTCTCTAACTTCAGTTTGGGACATGAGTTCGTGGAACAAAATTGGACATAAGAGGCTGCTTAAAAAGCCGGCTTCAGTAATGTCCGTTAGCCACGATGGGAAATACCTTTCTCTGTAAGAACCTATATTTTCCTTGTAGTAATACACGCCAATCACTTTCTTATTTGATTGATAACACATTGTCTATATTATAGCACATTTAAGTCATTTGAATTGTGAGGTGAGATTTTGATTTTGGTCATATTGCCAAAACTAAAGTGTGAAGAAAAGAATGTTTGCACTGATAATGATTTTCCATCTTTTTAAACGCTCTGTTTTTAAACCTATAGCACTGCATTAAAGTTTACTTGCAGTGATTCCTTCTTTGAGTTTCTTCTCCTGTAAACCCCTTCAACCTTTGCACCTATAAGTCATCTTTTCTTAAATAGTGTAGCTAATTGTGTTCTACTTATTATGTTCATTTCTAATATATGCCATATCCAATTAGCTGTGCTATTTTGTCTCATGCTTTGTTTGTCCTGTCTCAGAACTGAGGTTTCTCTTTGGGACCATTGAACTTAATACGAATTTGATTGCTAGTTTAAAACTACCAAAGAAAGAAACTTAAAATTGTAAATATGTTGTGGTCAAATATTTATAGCACGCATCAGATAAAATTTGTTCATTTTTTTAAATAAAAAAAGTAAACTTGTGATGTGATGAGCACCTTGCTTGTATAATTTTGAGCACCTCGGATTTCTATAATTTTAGGGCAAGTAAAGATGGAGACATATGTGTTGTTGAAGTAAAAAAGATGCAGATACACCATTATAGCAAGAGACCACACCTCGGTACAACTATTGCAACGTTGGAGTTCTGTCCTAGTGAAAGGTAATTGTCCATGCTCTATTGGTTTAATTTGCCAAATTTTTTATGTATATCAATCATCATATGCCAAAAAGTTCGTTTTTATTAGCCTAATAAATCAATTATCTTGGTCTTGGCTTATTCACCCGAGCTTTTATTATTTTATGCAGGGTTGTACTTACAACCTTAGTAGAATGGTGAGCATTGGTCACCAAACTTAATGTACCTAAATATTAGAAAGGTTATCTCTCTCTCCCCTCCCCCCTCTCTCTCAAACGCACACATGTCCTTTATGGAACCATAAAATATATCAGAAATAATACTTTAACACAAATTTGACAATAGTTTTGTGATGGCTAACACAATTAAAATATGTGGTTTGTTATTTTTCTTTTAATAGTTAAAGAATATGCACCACAAATTCAAACAAGGTGTTTCAACTCATTTACCGTTCACTGAATGTAATTAACAATAATCTTAAACATCACTAACCACAAATTTCAAGTGTTCGTATATACATGATATTCATCAATCATCCAATTTTTATTCAAATATACACAATTTTCAGATGACAAAATAAATATGATATCCATTAACCGCAATTTGTGTTTAAATAATCACATGTCTAGTGTACCTAAGTACTTGGCAGAAGCAAGGTCAATATTGATATTGATATTGCAAAAGTGACTCTGTCATGTAGTGACAGCAGTGGTCAAATAACAATGTCAAATAACGATTTTCTGGTAATGTTTTGCCATGTCATTTAATGAGTTTGTCAATTGGCATCTCATTTTAGTAATTTATTCAAACAAGCTCATTGAGTGCAATCCCAAAACAACATTGGATGATGGTGTTAAAAAGTTTACATTCACAGTGCATCAAAAGCAAAGTATTATACTTATTTACTGTTTCCAATTCCAAGATGATTTATGAAGTATTTATAACTGTAGCATTATTTTTTCCCATGTATGCAGGTTAGGTCTGTTCGTGTCAGGCTAAAAAGTCTAGGTCTTCATATGTCGCCTTGTGTCCTTGACTTTTTGAGTAAGACAATATTTCGGTGATGTTGCTGAAACCACACTGAGGGATATTGATTGTGATAAGGATTATGGTTAAAGTTGCACTGCTCTACCGTGTGGGATTTTCTTATTTGGTGAGAATAGCACACTGCTGCTACTGGATTGCACATGATTTATGAGCAGGCTTTTCGTTTTAGTCGTCATTTTTTCTGATATTTATATACTGTCAGAAATATTGTCTATACCTTATCTTGCTGTTGAAGCTTCTCAAACATTTGAGAGAGCTGTAGCACGAGGTGCAATAGGTGCTTAGTCTGTAGCCCTGGTGTTGGAAAGTCTTCTTTCCTGAAGATTGAACAATAATGCAGAACTGATAATTTTCAACATTCAGATATTGCGACATAGGAGGATGCCTGTGAGAAATTGGGAGTTCAAAGGGATGATATTAAATTAGTTTTTGGTCTTGCTGAAACTTTGGCCCTCTCATGGGATATCTGCTGAAAAGATTGTCAGTTGGGTCTAATAAAAAAGGAATTGATAGAGTTAGATATCTGCTGAAAAGATTGTCGGTTGGGTCTTCTTCGGTGGCCTCCTCGCGATATACGGTTTTTATTATTGATGAGTGTCACTTGTTAACCTCCAAGGCATGGATTGGATTTCTCAAGTTTCTAGAAGAAACGCCTCAGCATGTTTTGTTCATATTTATAACATCAGATATTGACAATTTGCCAAGAACAATTGAGTCTCGACGTCAGATGTACCTTTTCAATAAAATTAAAGACGGGGATATTGCGACAAGGTTAAAGAAACTATCTACTCAGAAGAACCTTGACATCGACACAGATGCCCTGGACCTTATTTCCATGAATGCAGACGGTTTACTTCGAGATGCAGAGACAATGTTAGAACAACTTAGCTTGCTGGGAAAAAGAATCACCACTTCTCTTGTCAACGAACTTGTGAGTTTGCTGTGACTATTTTTCTTTGAAATGTAACAGTTCTGACAATACTTTTTGTCTTCAATATAAGTTTTTCTTTTGGTTGTATGAATCTATCTTTAACAAATAATGCTCTTTTGTACCACCTGCAACAGGTTGGAGTTGTTTCAGATGAAAAACTATTGGAACTTTTGGTTGTATAAATCTATCTTAAAATATATATATATATATATATATATATATATATATATATATATATATATATATATATATATGCTATCCCAAAATAATTGATATTAAAAAAAACCAAACTTGTTAGGTCGGTTAAATATATCTGATTTAAGAAAAGAAGTTCTTAAGTCGGGTACAAATTGGATAAGGGCTTTTTAAAAACCTAGACTTATTAAGTCAGACATAGTTAAATCGACCTAATAAAATTTTCTTAAGTCAGGTCCAAATCCGACTTAAGAAGTCAAAACTTCTTATGTCGGCAATTTTTAGGCCAGTTTCGGACCCGACTTAACAAGCCTTTTTTCCACTAGTGATGACATGCAATTTTAGCCAAATGGAAACAATCACAGTATGAGTCGACCGAAGGGTCGACGCGAGCCCTCATGAGACTAATTCATTAAACCAACTTGCTGTGTGAGTCGACCGGAGCAGGTTTTGGGTCGACTCAAAACCCTAAAACAAGAAAAAATGTCTATTTTCATGCCTTACGACACATTTGATGAAACCTATAGTATGGCAAACAACACCAACTAAGTCAACCATATATGACACACAAATTTGGCCATCTCTATATGCAACAATTGTGATTTTTACGAGCATTTGAATTATGAGAGACACGACATGCAAATACGACATGGTGACAACGTCCAACATATATTTTTCTATGGAGCTGAGTTTTGACATCATCGAAAAAACACATCTATATATGAGGCTTTTCCCTCACATACTCCCCCTTTTTGATGATGGAAAAACAAATAGAACCTGGATGTATGATATGTCACATTATCCTCCCCCTTGCTTGATGCCATCATCCATACACACTCTTCTGTGTTAATACTGAGTCTTCACTTGTGATGTTTCTGGTTCTACTACAGTGTCTGATACTTTCTTCCCCTTTGATAACATCAAAAAGAAAGAATGCATGTTCCAAAACACTCGCAACAGGCTATACATTAATAGACATTTATATATAATGTAGTTAATGAACATATAAACAAAATGATAAATAGAGCCACGTACAAAATACAACAATAATAAAGTTTGCTATCTTAGTCAAGAAAGAAAATGACATTAAACATACATAAGTTTATAAGCCATTAAACAACAAATAACAACATTTATAACATGATAGTCAGATGCAAGATGCAGTATACAAGGAAACTTCAAGGTCTCATCCCCCTGAAATGGTGGCTACGCCATCGAGATGGATAGTCTGGAGGTAATTGGGCACCGACTCTTTTAGTGAACTCCAAGACCGCTCTATTTAGGGTGTTGAAGCTAGTGGCAAGAGCCATATGTTGACTAGATGTTGTTTCAACAAACCCATCGAACCTTCTCATGACACCGGATGAAAAAGCATTGAAATTTTCGGTGTGAGTTTCAAATTGACTTTGGAGTTGAGAGAATCGCTCATCCTAAGCAGTCATGAAGGAGCATTGCTCAAGCTTCATAGTCCTCATCACGTCGAAGAGTTCATCAGAGTATTGTTGTGGCGGATTCGGGAATAGTGGAGGCTCATAGCTCCAGTTCGGAGTTTCTTGATACTCCGAATGTTGTTGAGGCATATAGTTGTCACCTAACGATCTCCATCCTGTATGTTTCCAGGCGCCCCACGCTTGGTCATTGTCATGATCCGAGTGAGGAGGTTGCTCATAGCTTCAGTTTTAGCAGACATTTTTCACATAATCCGTGCGATGCGTTGACTAGAAGGTCCATGCGTCGGTGCATACTGTGTTGAAAATAACATGTTTGAAATAGCAGGGGTATGCGTCGACCGGAGGGTCGACCGGAGCATACCCGTGTCTCAGGAAAAAAATATTCATTTTGTGAGTCGATCGTTACCCTATATAGGTCGACTCATGCAAACAAAAAAAATAGCAAAACTTCAATTTTTGAACATTTTAGCATACAATAAGACATAAATACCAAGCCAAAACATATTTCAAGCATACAAAGAAGTGAAATAAGCGCAATCATGATATACAAGACAATGATGACACATAACTTGATACATTATATTTTATGTACATGAGAATTTTGAGAGATTCTAGTTAAGGAAGGATATTACCTCATCTCTAAATGTAACGAGATGCACTCACACGTGGCTCTTAACATCTTCATTTGTTAGATAACTGATGGATAAAGCACATATAGATATAAATGTATATAACATGCGAGAGATATTTTTAAACACGATCCGAAATATCAAGAACACCGAGTTCCCGTCGAATGTGAAAGAAAGGCTCAGTATCAAGAGGTTTCGTAAAGATATTAGCAAGTTGATTTTTAGTGTCAACATTCTCAAAAACCACATCGCCTTTCTCCACATGATCCCTAAGGAAGTGGCGTCGAATTTCGATATGCTTGGTGCGTGAATGTAGCACAAGATTCTTAGTTAGATTAATAGCACTCGTGTTATCACAAAAAATTGGAATACACTCAAGTTTGAGGTTAAATTCGAGCAATTGTTGCTTAAGCCATAAGACTTGAGTACAACAACTGCCAGTAGCCACATATTCCACTTTGGCGATTAACAAAGCTACAGAGACTTGCTTTTTGCTATGCCAATTTACCAAAGAGTTTGAAAATAGATGACATGTGCCAATCGTACTTTTCCTATCTGATTTGAATCCCACAAAATCAGAATCGGAGAAGCCAACCAAGGAGTAATCATTTCCCTTAGATTACCAGAGCCCATACTTTGGGGTACCCGAGAGGTATCTAAGTATGCGCTTTATTGCTTTTAAATGGGATTCTTTAGGAGATGACTGGTACCTAACGCACATATAGACACTAAACATAATGTCAGGTTTAGAGGCAGTAATATAGAGGAGAGATCCAATCATACCTCGATACTTTTTCACCTCTACATCCTTACCATTTTCGTCTCGGGTGAGATTTACACATGTTGGCATTGGTGTATCGGTTGCTTTGGAGTTTTCCATGTCAAATAGCTTGAGAAGCTCAAGGCAGTATTTCGTCTGGCTCACAAAGGTACCCTCCTGCAGTTGATTGATTTGTAATCCGAGGAAATATATGAGTTCTCCCATCATACTCATTTCGAATTATCCCTGCATTAAAGTAGAAAACTCCCTTACCAGATTCATGTTAGTTGACCCGAAAATGATATCATCAACATAAATTTGTACCAAAATTAAGTGTTTTCCTTGACGCTTAATGAAAAGAGTTATGTCAACCTTTCCTCTTGAGTACTCTTGATCAAGGAGAAACTTTCTTAGATGACCATACCAAGCCCTAGGGGCTTGCTTAGGTCTATACAAGGCATGTTTTAATTTGCATACATGATCAGGATACTCATGGGATTCAAATCCCGGAGGTTGGGCAACATAAACCTCTTCATTTATATAGCCATTAAGGAACACACTTACCATATCCATTTGAAATAGCTTAAAATGTTTCACACACGCGAAGGCAAGTAGTAGGCATATAGCCTCGAGTCGGGCAACCGGCGCATAAGTCTCCTCATAGTCGATGCCTTCCTCTTGGTTATACCCTGCACGACTAAACACACCTTATTATGTGTTATTACTTCGTTTTTGTCCAGTTTATTCCTAAACACCCATCGGGTGCCAATTACTCAATGGTCTCGCGAAGGAGGGACAAGGTCAAAAACCTCATTTCTTTTAAACTTATTAAGTTCCTCATGCATTGATAGAAAGCAATGTTCATCGAGTAAAGCCTCTTTTGGGTTTTTAGGTTCTACTTGAGAAACGAAAGCGAAATGATAATAAAAATTACTTAGTTTTGATCGATTCGTCACTCCCTTTGAGATATCACCGAGGATATTGTTGATGGGATGGTCTTTGGAAGACTTCCAAGCTGGAGGGAGATCATCTTTGTTAGACAGATGAACTTCCTCGGTTTCCTCAAGGTGGTAATCTTTTTCCTCCTCAACTTTAGCTGGGTCAGGTTGATCAATTCCGGTCTCAGCACCTTTTAGTATGTCTTCAGAAGATACACCTGCACCATGAACTAAACTAGCTTTTCTGACACTTCTTGGATAAGACTCATCAAATGTTACATGAATAGACTCTTCGACAGTAAGTAATCTCTTGTTGTATATTTTATAAGCTTTACTTGACTGAGAGTATCCGAGAAAGATACCTTCGTCTGCCTTAGAATCAAATTTACCTAGACTTTATTTTCCTTTGTTTAGCACGAAACACTTACAACCAAAGACATGTAGGTGAGACACATTTGGCTTTCGCCCTTTTAAATGTCCATACGGTGTTTTGTTTAGAATAGGGCGAATGAGCACCCTATTTAAAACGTAACAAGCCGTACTAATGATGTCAGCCCAGAAATACTTAGGAAGCCATTTTCGCTGATCATAGTTCTCCCTAACTCTTCCAAAATCCGATCTTTGCACTCCACAACTCCATTTTATTGAGGGGTACGTGGAGCGGAGAAGTTATGATAAATTCTGTGTCTACCGCAATATTCCTCAAACAGATAATTCTTGAACTCACCCCCATGATCACTTCTAATTGATATGATGTTTGCATTTAACTTATTTTGAGAAAGCTTAGAACAATTTTCAAAGGCGGAGAATGTATCGCTCTTGCTAGCCAAGAAGATAGTCCAGCAAAATCTAGAAAAATCATCGAATATCACAAAACCATAATATTTACCACCTAGACCTTTAATTCTAGATGGCCCAAATAGATCCATATGAAGAAGTTCAAAAGGTCTCATAGTTGAAAAAATATTTTAAGATTTAAACGAGATCCTTGTTTGCTTCCTAATTTGGCATGCATCACATAAGTGATCCTTGGTGAACTTGATTTTGGGCAAGCCTATGACTAGATCTTTTGAAACTATCTTATTTAGCAAGTCAAAACTGACATGTGCTAAATGCCTATTCCATAACCATGAGTCCTTACTCATTGTCATGAGACATTTATCCCTAGTTAATGATACTTCACTCAAATCTAGCATATAGACATTATTT